CTGTGACTGTGACATGGGTCTTATATAAACCATTGTTTTGTGCCTTAGAGAAATAGTTCACAAAAAACTTACATGGTAGTAATGCTGTAATTAAAATTTACAAATAAAAACTTTCATGTGAAATAAAATTTAATGAACTTATTGTGAGTTTACTGCGTGTCAAAAAACATCGTAAGTGCTTTTCCTCATTTAATTCTTTCCAATGTTTAGAAGGCATGGTACTATTACTGTCTGTCGCATTTTAAAGTCGAAAAGCTGGAGGCACAGAGAACTGAAATAATTTACACAGAGCCACACAGTTAAGGAGGCTTCAGTTTGGCATCTGAATGAACACTGAATGGTTCTGGGGTCCATAATTTTAAGCAGTACACCATACTATACTTCTCTGATACAAGGAAAGAGATACTCCCTATGCTAGGTGTTATTTTCTTTCCCCTTGCTAAAAGTATTATTTAGTATGATAGGTAAACTAAGTCTAAAATATTGGTCTTTCATGGACCCAAGATATTAAATCTTTAATTTAGCACTCTATCCTTGTTTCATTTTAGGCTCCGCTAAGGAAGGAAGACAAATCACATTAACATGACATATTTACTATTCTAATATATAATTGAGCAATATCATAAATTACACTGTTCCTGTTGCCCAGCATACAAGTGAATGTACACAACAGATTCATCACTAAACATAAGGAATATTTCTCCCCAAAGGTCAGAAAAATATTCTCTCTACCCAAAAGCTATTTAAAGAAGGGCTAAACTCTGAAAAAAATCAGGCTATTGGCAACACCATTTTCCAGTTCAATCAACCTGGAAACCTCAATTATTTCTTAGAAGAATAATGGTAGATTAACTAACTGGTAACTCAATGGACTCAAATGTCAGCTCTGCCATTTTTTTACCTAGGTGTCCTGGGACAACTTGGTTTACTACTGTCTGTCTATATCCTCTTGTACAGAATGAGATGACATTTAAAACAAGTTTAATGCCTCATCAGTCCCGCTTAAGTGTTACATGAGCCTGTTTCCTTCACAGTCTCCCCTTCCTCTCTACTCCTTCTGGTACGACCTCAGGCATTGGCCTCATGGTGTCATTCGATGCTGCTATAGTAGCCTAAAATTAATCTTCTTATCTACATGTCTTCCAACTGCAATCCACTGTGAAGACATCTCTAGACTAACATTCAAATAGCAATCTTTTGTTCACAGGATGCACCCTCACAGAATATTCTCTTTCCCTCTCTCTTTTTCTTTAAATTACCTTCAAATTTAGTTTAAATTTACTAAATGGTTATTAATACTTTCAACAAAGTGGGCTTGTGTCCCAGGGCTTACGTGTTTTATGCCATTCATTGAATGTACAGAAACCTCTTCCCCTCTGAACTTTGGTAAGCCATTTTTTTACTATTGTGTTATCTCCCATGTGCATCAAGATCTAGTGAAATGCATCTCTATGATGCAATCCTGGACCAATGCAGTTCAGAATTACATCCACTTCTTCAGATATCCTATAATGCATTGCTTTTACACATTTATGCCTTATATTTCTCAAATTATTTCAAATGACTTTGTTAACTTTACTACTTTATATCTTTCTCTTGATGTAAGTTACCATATCCTCTATTTATTCACACTTGGGTATATACTACTTCCTTAAAAAAAGATTTTCTTTGACACTAAGTGTTTCTTTCTCCCTTTCACTTGTTCTCATATTTCCTAGCACAGTGCTTTTCGTATTTAGGAGTACATGGTAAATATTAACTAAATCAAATGGGATAAAATTACTAAACAGAATCACTTGTTTTATCTTTCAGAGACCAAATCCTGAAAGTGAGAGTAGAAGCCTTCTACAGGTCCTTTACTCTCAAAACCAAGAATAGTGTTGGAGCAAAAAAAACTTAAGTCTGTTCATTTTAGAGCTACAATCATTCAAATACTAGTAAGTTTGAAACTATCCCCCTGATAAAATTTTTCAATGGTTTGTTTTCAACTAGTGACATATAATGGGACTGAAACCAGTGGTGGCTAAAGTGGAAAAAGATGAAGACTTCTGAAGAGTCCAAAACAAACCATCAGTGTGGCTAGTGTGCCACAAAGAACACTGTGTGGACCACACCTGAAGGTACAGAAAGTCAAGTAAGTTAAGCTGAACTGCTCATTCCAAACCTCTCTGCACTGCATGGGCTGACTGAGGGACTGCACACACAAGGTATGGTCATGAATTCAGATTCTGAAAGGATAACAGACATAAGAATGGGCTCTGCCTGCAGGGAAGGAACTTTTTAATGTGACATGTTTTCTTGAACTAAACTGTTTATTTATCTAAGGCAATTTATTTTGGATTGCTGAGTGGTGCTATTGAAACTCAACATAAGTCAACTGTTATTTTTTTTTCAAAATTAATCATAAAATACTCAGTACTAAGTATGTTTCAGGTATATGGTTTCAGGTTTGGGAATAGTGTTTTTGTGGAGCTAAAATAAAATTAGATCAGCCATAGAATCTTAGTGACATCTAGGTTAACAGTACAAAGAAGATTTAGAATTAGACTTCAAGCTTCATTTTCATGAATGACAGATTTAAATTTTGTTTTACATTTTCCTGATAAGAAAGTTAAGGATAAAAATATGTATCTCATGATATTATTGCTCAGATTAACTGAAAAGGTTGAATATAAAATACACAGAATCAAATCAATACTTAATGAATGTTTTCCTGCTCCCAGTCCTTCAATTTACACGAATTACTTGCTCAACAGAACATTGGATAATTGTTCCCCAAACTTATGTGACAATCATTTCAACTATTGGTTTTGTTTTTATAAGTTTTTTCTGTCTCCTTCAAGCTAAGTATTTCACACTCCATAAGTACTTCACAATTGCCACATCTTCTCTCCAGAAAGGTCACAAACATACATGTTCATCCTAGGTCTGCAATAAAGAATAAGATATACAAATATTCTGATTTTACATCCTCTATATATGCATAGTGATTGAGCAAATGGTTAGTTTTTTTCATGAAAAATTCAAGAAGTACAGGCACTTTCTGAAAGTACTTTGCTTTATTTATAAAAAAAGTTGGAGTTTAGTTTCTGTTTGAGCATACTAATCAACAATACTCAGTGAGTATCCGTATTATGAGTAATTTTTTATAATGCTTGATAAACATACATGAATTGAAATAACTGAATAAATTGATTACAAATTAATAACTATTAACATTTATTGAGCATTTATTATATACCTGAAGCTATGCTATCCTTTACATGTATTAATACCACAAATGAGGTAGTTCTTAATTTTATATCCATTTAAAAGAGACAGTAAGAAATTTGCTCAGTCACACAGCTAGTAAGTGATAAATCCAAAATACTCTCATGTATATTTTTGAAGATTCACACATGTATGAAAATGTCACAGTGAAACCCATAATTTGTAAAAATCAATATGCATCAATAATTATAAATTTAAAAATAAACAAATTTCAGATGTTTATCTCCAATCAGACAGCCTGATAAGGTCCTGATTTTGTTGTTTTTGTTATTAGTAACAGTATCAAAACTAAGGGTATTTTAATAGTTTTACTGTTTCCTTTACATCATAACATACAAACACCCAGACTCACTTTTCTATCTTACCATGGTATGAATGCAACAGGCATTCACAAGGAACCATACTTTGAATTTTGAACATTGACCAACCCTCAGTATTGGGTAATATTCCCTCCCAAAGCTGGGAAGCCACAGGGAGCTTAGCTCCCTGTCAGCAGGGCCATCTGGAAAGGAAACCACTGACACTCTATAGTGCACTGTGCGGCTGAGCATCTGACCAGATGTGTTAAATGCATTTCCAACTTTAATCAATCCAGGGTATAAAGGTGTGCATTCAAGTCTGAATACTAAGTCTAGATTCTTAAAGCACATCTTACACCATCTCATTATTGAAATAGTAGATTGGGAGATAATATACACACATCAATACTGCCATTATTGCTTCTAAATTTGGGGGAATTCTAAAATTTTAGAATTGTCCTCCAGACCATCCCACTTCATCAAACAAGGCAGTGAGCAGGTGAAAGCTCAGCTCTGACTCTGTGATCCCTTCCAGTTCTAACATGCTGTGATAACATTGATTTCTGTGATTTTTAATGAATGACAGAAGATTCTTTGGAGACCTTTGGGACTCTAATACCAAATACTTTTTATCAATGAATAATTTGAATGGTTCACAAACTTACATTCAGGAATCTACACTTTCATTTATTTCCTACTTGTTTAAAACAATCCAAGTGACATGATAAACAATATAAAATAGAAGACAAAAAAATAAGATATTAAGAGCAACCAAAAATCTTTAACATTATGAGGATCATGCTGAAGCAGACCCAAAATTTAAAATTTAATGTCAAAATGTGTTGAGCTCTTAAATACACAGGCCTTTAAATAAAAGTTATTTAACCTCTAAGTTTTTGATGGAGGCAGCATCCTTTGAAAAGTGTTGTTCAAGATCTGGATTCATCACTTTGTAGAGACTTTGAGCAAACTATTAAAGCTTTGGGGATCTCAGTTTTTTATTTGAAAATGGGAATAAAAATAGTTATCTTAAAATATTTAGGTATTAAAGATAATGTTTATAAGAATTTAATGATACCTGACAAATATTAACACATATTAATTTAATATTTCTTTTTTTTCATGTTAACACTAGCTAATAACACTAATCTCCTTTACTCCTTTCAATCTATGATTAGAGGAGGAAAAAAACTTGAAGAAAGATGTGCTACATGTAGGTAACAAAATGATAATAAATTCAGTGAATGAAAATCTTGAAATTATGTAACAGTTCAGACTAACAAATACATCATTTTTTAATCTTTGGTATACATTTTCCCACAATATTAACTTTCAAGAACTATAAATAGAACTTTATTCTTTTATGACTATCTGCCAAATACATTCAGTATGGCTGCAATTGAATAGAAAATAGAAACACATATTACTTACTGTATATAGTGCTTGGAAATTTCAAAATGATTTGAAAACATTCATCCTCAAAATACTTCTACAAAATGCATCTGTGGAAAAGGAAAAACAATCCAAAAAAGAAAAAAATAAGCAATTTTCCAAGGCCATTGAAAAATTAATGCAGACCAACATGCATTAAACATTGTTTAACAAACTGAAATACGGATTTGCAAAATATAGATGCTAAACCTAGCAAAGTATAATAGGCTATGAACAGAAATATTCTCATATGCATGCAAATATTCTGAACACTGGTCAAAGAGACACTCCTAAGCATGAGGTAGGAAAAGTCTGCATGTTGGATTCAGAATTATTTTAAGTACACAGTACTCATGGAATATTGGTAGAACAACATAAAAGCAATTCAAAATATGAAATGCATATAAGTAAATTTAGTTGGTGATTTGAGATGATTATTCAAACACATTCTAAAATGTACTTTTGTCTGATATATGAAGACCATTGAGTTAGAAGAATATTTTGCTTGATTTATCTCGAGAATTGTACCAATTCACTTTGTAATTGCATTTCTGTTCTAATTGAAAATCATGCACTGAGAAAAATACAGGCATGCCTCCTGCACACCTCACAAAAATACACAAGCAGATCTATGGTGTTTTTCATTAAGTCAATGTGATTATAAGGAAAAAATGATTTAATCAGGCTTTATTAATTAATTCGTTTGTTTTAGAAGATTGGTATTGGAAGATCACATTAATTTTGAAACTCAAATATTTCAACTTAAATAGATTTTATGCTACTGGAAACACTGTTTTGTAAAAGAACTGTTCACAAGAAACAAAATAAAACATATCCTAATGAAAATTATATATCATCCTTTAAAGCACAGACTGCAAGTTTCCAACATATCAGACACACCATGCACGATCTAATAATTAGCAAGTTTATTTAAAGGAATTAGCAATTTTATTTAAAGGAATATTAGTTATCAATGACCAAAAGAATTTCTGCCCAGGGAGATGTGGGGCTTTATAGTACTAAGCAGAAACACCAGTTTACTAATGCAGAAGTTATGCTTTTTTGTTCACCAAAATCTATATAACCAAATTCAGCATTGTTCAACATTCACAACAAGTACTCTGCATAGAAGGTCTAATTTATCTTCCCTTAGTGTGTGAAAAAAACTAGGAAGACTCTTTTCTCCATCTAGTCCATCGATTGATAATTTTGTTAACGTTGAACACAGAGCCTCTCAAATGAGATAAAGCTAGAAATAGTTAGCAAGTTTACAGCTAAATGGCAAATATAAATCAAGAAATTCCCAGAAACTAGGTATTATGATAAATTTCATTAGTCTGAGTTTAAAACTTGGAATTTAATAGAACATTCAAATTCACTTCCCTATATAACTTCATTAGAATTACAGAGTTAAAACAGCAGGTATTTGTTTTTCATACTTTACAATATTCATCCTTATAGACAAGAGGATTGAACTGAACACTAATCCTGTGGTTAGTCTTTCCTAAATTGACAAACAGAAGCTGAACTTTAAATCTAAACAAGCTTTTCTAACAAGAGCTTCACATCACAACCACACCTGCTAGTTTCTATGCACAGCAGAGATTTCAAACTGGGTTCATAAACATTAATGATATTCTTCATGAATTACCAAAATAATAATTTTAAAAAATCTGTATGGTACCCCCATCCTTACTCACCACAAAGCCTAAACAAACAGGAGCAAAACAAAAAAAGGAAGAAATATTACACAATTTAACTTCAAAATATACTACAAAGTTGTAGTTATCAAAAGAGCATGATGATACTGGCATAAAAACAGACACTGAACATGAAACATGAAACATGGAACAAAATACCCAAAAGAAAATCCATACATATATGGACAATTTATTTTGAATACAGTAGTAACCCAGTAGAGAAGGGATAGTCTTTTCAATAAATGGTACTGGGAAAATTGGGTATCTGTAGGCAGAAGACTGAAATTAAATCTCTATAAAAAACTGTCAGTTAAAAAAATCAACTCAAAGTGAACTAAAGACTTGGATAAAAGACTTGAAACCATAAAGCTACCAGAAGAAAAGATAGAGGAATGCTTTGTGACATTGGAATGGGCAAAATCCCCAAAGCACAGGAAAAAAAAAAAAAGCAAAAATAGGCAAACTAGTTTACAACAAACTAAACACCTTCTGCATATCTCCCCCCCCCAAAAAAATCAATACAGTGAAGACAATCTAAAGAATGAATACAATATTTCGAATGACACATCTCACAAGGGGCAAACATACAGAATATGATGTAAGGAACTCCAAAAACCCAAAGCAAGAAACAGATAATCCAATTTAAAATGGGCGACAGATTTAATAGACATTTAATTTAAAAAAAAAGACATACGAATGGTCAACAGGTCAATAAAAAATCAATATTGCTATCATTAAGAAAATACATATGAAAAACATATTGAGATATCACCTTACTCCAGAAAGAATGACTATTATCAAAAACACTAAAGAAAACAAGTTCTGGGAAGGATGTGGAAAAAAGTGAATTCCTGCATACTGTTGGTGGAACTGTGAATTAATATAGCTATTCTGGAAAACAGTATGGAATGTCACACACAACAAAAATTAAAAATAGGGCTCACAAATGATCCAGAAATACCACTACTGAGTATATATCTAAGGGAAATTAAATAAGTGTGTTGAAGAGACATCAGCACTCCTATATGCATTGCAGCATTATTCACAATAGCCAAGAAATAGAAACAACCTTTGTCCCTCGACTGATGAATGGATAAAGAAAATTGGGTTCATATACACAACAGGATATGATATAGTCATTAAAAATAAATCTTATCATCTGCAAAAACATGATGGGGGGGCTGGGGATGTGGCTCAAATGGTAGCGCGCTCGCCTGGCATGCGTGGGGCCCGGGTTCGATCCTCAGCACCACATACAAACAAAGATGTTGTGTCTGCCGAAAACTAAAAAATAAATATTCTCATTCTCTCTCTCTCTCTCTCTCTCTCTCTCTCTCTCTCTCTCTCTCTCTCTCTCTCTCTCTCTCTCTCTCTCTCTCTCTCTCTCTCTCTCTCTCTCTCTCTCTCTCTCTCTTTCTCTCTCTTTCTAAAAAAACATGATGGGATTTGAGACCATGATAAGTAAAATTTGAACACGTAGACAAATGCATGTGATCTCATTCATACATGGAATCTCAAAAAAAATGACCATTAGAAGTTGAGAGTAGAATGGCAGTTATCAGATGCTCATGAGAATAGGGGGATGGCAGAACAAAGGAGGGATTGATCCATGTGTACAAGTTATAATTATATAGGAGTAAGAAGTTCTGGTGTAGTATTACATGGTAGGATGACTATAGATAATATAACATTATGCATATTTTATAAATCTAGAAGAAATCATTTGAATGTTTTCACGATGAAGAAATGACACATGTGAAGACATATTTACTCTGATTTAACATTGTACAGTGTACACAGATTTCAAAATTTCATGATACCCATAAATATATACAATGTTTAGTTTTCTATTATCAGTTTAAACTATAAATTTAATTTAAACTAAAAAACTGGCTTATTAGCACATATTACATCACACCATGGCTTTAAAAATATTACACAACAGTCACAACTGGTATATTTCTCATAAGAATTCTCATTTCTAGCTTTTTTGAAAAAATTTTCATAAGGCTGTGCTCAGAACTCACATGGCTGCCCTCTTCTACAGCACAAATCTTCTTCACTCACCTAGCCCTTACTTTTGCAAATTCTTCTACTTGGTAATTTCAAGCACTAGAGGTTTTGCCCCCATCCAAACCTTCTTTCCTGCAAAATACCATTGGAATTCTTTGTTCTGAAACTAGAGAGTTTTTCTTCTTAAGTTCAAAATGTTTACACTGTTGGTTAAAGTAACTTCTTAAAATATGTACTTCAATACAGTATTATAATTTCCCAAATTAGGTGCTATTAACTAGTTATCATGTTTTAATTTATATACATATTTTAAAATGTTGAGGGTTTGGATTTCCACATATTTAAACATAGTAGATCATTTTTAAAATTAAGGGAGAAAGTTATAAACCATATCATTGGTACATCATGAAAAGAATTAATTATTTCAAACAATGATTTTAACTGTAACTGTAGACATAATGTTCCTATAGATATAATTCCTGGATTAAAAGAGATACAAAGTACCAATATAATTATAATCATAAAGAGAAATCCTCCAATTTAATTAAACAAACTGGACTAGGGAAACACTGAACACTAAATGTGTAGCTAGCTATGTGACCCACAAACCTAAGTTAAATGCTAATATGATGAAAATATCTTGAAATATTAAATTATGTAAAATCCTTAAAAAATATGGGCTGGGAATTCTGGTGGCTCAGGTAGCAGAAGCCACATGAATCTGAAACTTTCCACATGTATATCCTAAAAAATATACAACCAAAAAAAATTTAATAAAACAAAAAACACAAATCCTAAGCCTTTAGCCTAGGAAACTAAAAAATAAAAAGAAAAATTTCAAATTATCTGCTAACAGAAAATTAAACACCAAATTCTAACAGAGCTTATCTTTCAAGTACCCACTGTACACAACAGAGATAGAAGGGATGTGCGGGGTGGGGGGAGTGAGAGGAAAATAGTTAGTTGTTACAGTAAATGTTAAAATTCATGATGAAAAATATGATATAAACAACGAAATGAATAAAGGATAAAGTGAAGAAGGAAAATCCTTTCTTTATGTAGAGCATCTCCTAAAAAAAAAAAAGATGGATTGATGAAGTTAGAAAATCACCATTAGCAAGCATAGTTAACCATCTGGATCAAGAAAACATCAGTGGATCAGAACCAGTGGGTGAAAGTATAATGGGAAACACACATTTCCATAGTTGGAAAGCATCTACTCACAAATTGGTTATTTATTACAGTGGGGGAAATTGTAACCTTCAGTGGAGAAACTTGGCAGAAACTACTTTAACTAATTGATCAAAGACAACATCATCAATAATGGGACAAATACACAGGACACACCAGAGAAGGAT